AAGAAATTACAAAGAATAGAGTGAGCTAATTGGAACGGCACGTTTTTACACAAGTTCCGATCCGATGAATTGACACCGAAAATAGTGTACACTTGTAGCAAATAATGGTTCATGTAATTTTTATTATTTAAAAAAAAATAAAAACACCTATTACTCCTTAATACGTTATTAACGTGATTATGTCGTTTAATTTATGTGAAATAAAATACGCCACGGCACTTATAACATTATGAAACCGGCATTGACCAAATGACGACTTTATTTCCTCGGGCTATGTGATGGACATTTAATGGCGACCCTTCTTTATTTATGTACTGATCCTTAACCCTGTTCAGCAATATATCGTACATAAGGTATTTCTTAGGTGTTTAGTGTTCGGGCAGACTCATAAACGTCCTCAAACCCTCCACATGCGAAATAAAATAAAGCCCGATGTTACCTAACTCAAAACTTTGTGAAACAAAAATATCGGAGTTTCAACTGATGAGTTTTAAATTATATCGAGTATAATATCTATTCAAAAACTGAAATATAATATGTTCTTATCTTGATACATCGTGTCGATACTTGATACATCGAGAGCCGCGTTATTCCCGTTTCTAATTTTGTTGCTATGAAACTCTGCATCATAACGATAATTCTTCAACTCGAAACTTTGTCTAGGGTCCTAACTGTAACAAGTTTTCGAACATCAACGCCAGTGAAAGCAGATACGACAACAGATAAAGATCAACATTTGATGGATGAATTGTACCAACAAAAGGTAGGAAACTTCGCTCCGTCAAAGCTCTAGCACAATATTTTTTAATCTCAATATCATTAATTTTAACCATTAAAAACATTATTCATCAATCCTGAACGCGCATATTTCCTAGTGCTTACTTTCGCGTGCTAGAAGAAAGAGTTCTTGTGTTTTATTATGGACAAGGAGGAGCAAAATGAAAAGGAGACGGTTTAAACTTATATATTTAATCGCTCATTACACGTAATGTGCTAAGTACAGCTCTTCCTCGACGCCAGAGAGAGCGAACTGCATCCGCTTCGGCCCCTGCTGCTAAAATTAAACTATCTCCTCACCATTCGCTCCATTATTTTTACTCAGCCGCAAACGCTAAGGTAATTGCTTTTATGATGTGTAAATTATACTCCAATTAGCGAAGGATATTCAGCTTCTGGACATTTCGATTCGGACCTTCAATGATATTTTTGTCAATAAATAAATTTTGCAATTTTCTATTTTAGTTTGTGATATTATATACACTATTTCTGTATTTTTAGAATCAATTTTTTAAAAATAAAAAAAATGACATAAAATTCCCTTCATAAAACTGTCGTTTATATTAATTCAGTTATACATTTACACAAATTTTATATTATTTTTATTACCTCTTATATACTTCTTTTTTTAAAACACTGCCCTTACCTAATGATAACATTATCCTGTGTTGTAAGGACGTAAATAAATTTTACATGGAATAAGACCAAGATCTGAAAAAAATAATATTTAAGGGTCACACAAATAGCCCCGTGCAGGAATAGAACCCACGCCCCCCGGTGCCGAAGCCAATATCTTGGCAACTAAGCCACGGAATCATCAAAAAAATGTAGACGAGGCTTGTTACTTCGATGCAGAACTTACTTTATCTCATCTTTTTAATTATAAATATACGTTAATTTCATCGACCTACGCAAATATCAAAAAGGTGACGGTGTTACATGAGATTCACTTTTAAAAGAAAAATATAAAAGTAGTGATCTCTTTACCACCCCATAAGGAGGATAAGACAATCCTCTTCAAACACGAATCGTATCGCCGACTTATCACGTTACTAACTTAATAGCGGCGCAATCGCTCAAAGCTATTAAAGAGGGAGTATCGACCTTAATTGTTGTTTACAAATTGCGTAATTCCTTAACCGCAAGCCTGTTGAATAACATCTATCATATTTTATTGAGTGACAAAATAACTATGGAAATATCATATTTTGGCAAGTACTCTATTTACTTCTTCGGATGAAGAAATTTCCACGATAAACAATAGAAGGAAATGTAACTGGAGTTTATGAAGTCCCAATCAGAAACGAGGAAAAGATGATTGAGCAATTTCCTCGCACTCATAATAAGATATAATAATATAATCTCGTCCATAATGTATTATAGCGCAAAAACTCATGTTTACGTTTAATGTGTTGTTTTTAATGGAATTATGTATTGAATAAATGCAAAGAGCAAGTACAGCGCTACCATTTCGACAAACTTCAACAAAATATAGTTTTCAAAGAGTGACAGATACATAATCAAACACGGAATATTTATTTGTTTTTATTTTTCTATTGTAAATGTTATGATCTTATCAAAATGTAATGGAATTTCTTAATCAACTCAAATTACCGGGTTATTACTGCTATGCCTTTACAGTGAGATACAAGTAATATAGAAATTTCATTTCCAATTCCTATTTATCATTCAATTCGATGAAAGATATTTTTATATCAAAACATGATTTATAATGTAATTTTATCTCATTGCGTGACGTAACATATGTTGCGCCCCGATTCAGGTCTCCGTTCGGAGATGGCTCGTGTCTCAGTGAGCAATGGTACAAAGCAGCGGAATATTAATGGGGCTGCGCTCTAAGTTTCAGCCGCCTGTATGGGGCGCGGCTTCGATCCGGTTAATTCCAGTTCGCGGTCGGTCTTTGAGTAATTGCTCGGCGGTTCATTTATTTATATGCTCGGGAATGTTTGATGAGCTTCGGATGTAATGGATAGCTCTGAGTAGCTTTGCTGTATCCTAAGTAATTAAAAGAACACTCAAGTAATGGCTGGATAGACAAAGCTTTTGATGCTCCAACGACAAAATGATAGCTCTTAAAAACTTTTTTTTAATCGGAAATGGTCGTAAGCGAGCTGCCTGTTCACCTGATGTTAAGTGATAACCGCCGCTCACGAACATTTGCGACACCGGCTGCAGATATGTTGCCACCGTTTAAAAAGGTGGGCCGCGGCTACCTCACTCACCAAGCGAAACGCGAAAGTGTAACACCGGGCGGACCTGTCCATTCGTGCAACAGCTGAATCCGTTACGTGGCCCTACCACCGAGGCTCACCCACTTCTTGTCGCGTGGCCCACCCACCTGTCAATCTGAAATAGCGGTTGCTGCTCCTAAGGTATTCGAAAAACGGAAACATCACTTGCAAGCCTCGAATGCACAATGGGTTTACCTATTGCATGCATAAACTTGACGGTACTGCCACCTCTCTACAAAATAGTAACGAAAACTCAATCAGGCAAGGCCGTGATTTTTCGTTGTTTCCTTTGACGTAAACGTAAACTTGAAATCACTTTGAAGATAATTTCTTTAAAAGTTATAACAAAAAAATCTTTCTCCACCGAATACCGAAACTCGACATTTTAATAGAAAGTCGGATCTTTCAGTACTGCGCTTACAAATTGGCCAATAAAAGGAAAAAAGTTTCAAGTCTTGATTTCCTCGGAGCTGTAACTTGCGAACTTTCAATTCTAGTCAAATTGTTTTTTAAAGTATTCCCAAAGTAAGATGGTTTCGGAGGACGGGAGGGGGGGAGGCGAAGAGGGGGGCGTGGATGGGATCTGTTCACGGCACGAAACGATGTGATGAAATGATGAAATAAGATTCAGGCACTTATTATTACTTGTCGGGCCAATTATTTTTAGCCGAGGCGGAGTTTGGTTCGCTTACTTTTATGTTTTTTTTGTTTTTTAATCCGATAATTCATCACAATAAACAAATAAATATTTTGGGACATTTTTACACAACGTTATCTAGCAAAACTTATACTATAGGTACTAGATTACTGATAAACATACTTTTTTTGTATATCAATACATATTAAATATATATAAACACCCAGGCACTGGAAAAACACTACGTTCATCACATTACATTTTTCCAATAATGGGGTTCAAACCCACACCCTCTGGCGCAAGGGAGAGGTCACTATCAACTACGCCAATTCGGTCGTCGGAGAATGTCAATGGGTGCAATTACAAATAACACCTAAAAGGGATCTGTCATTTCGTTTGCCACCTTTGTATATAACTCAAAAATATTTATTAATTTTCAATTGAATATTAACATTTTAAATGAGGTTTCTTACTATAATCTCCACTACGTGCTCTGTAAGGCCCATTATAGGAAACATAAAAGTTCTGTTAAGAAACAGGGCCAAACATTTGTCCAAACGTTTGCTTTTTTTAAGCTTAATGCAGCACACTCCTTCTTCTCAAAGACCTATTTCGGTACATTTAACAGATTACAAATTTTTACAATTTTCTTTAACTTTTACAGGCTGTGTAGGTAAAAGAAAATGTATAATAATAAGAAGATATAGAATAATTAATAATACGAAGGTAAAAAAATAAGAAGGTAAAAATTGAAATTGAAGTACCAGTAAGTAGTGTATTAGGTACTTCAATTTGAATATTTGGAGTGTAATTAAATTGAAGGCTAACACCCACGCACTAAAATACTACGGTAATGTGTAGAATTTCACTGAAAGATACGTTTACTGCGTTGAGTTTATACGTTTACAATGTTGTACCTATACTTTCATTGTTGTTAACAGTCTTATACAGTGAGGACAATGTTTTCTATAATATATATTATAGAAAACATAAATTTTTATAATATGAGAAATAAGGCGTGCTGGGAGACTTTTGTGTCGATTGCTACAGAATGGTGGTAGAAAAGTAATACTTGCACAAATCATCCACTAAAGGACAAAAATTTGAAAAAATTATCGTGGACTCCGAGAATTTCTAATTTATCAATTTTATGATAATCGGTCATTCCTCCGTTTTGGATCGCGTTCGCTTAAGCACGAGCGGTCGATCGCAAAAAGGAATGAGCCGCTTCTTTAGCGAAACGCTCACGTTGAGCTAAAATATATGTTCGTCTCGGTGCGTCCTCGGATAAATAGAATCCGCAAATCCTTACTATATCCAATAGCGCCAAAGAAATGCGCGAAATTAAATTCCGAAGCGCAGCCATTTGTAAGGGAGCGGCGGGAACCGCAACCCAGAGGGACCAGAGCAGAGCAGAGGGCCCCGCCCTGCTGCAGCCGGGGCTCAGGGCTCGGGGCTCAGGGCTCGGGGCTCAGGGCTCGGGGCTGAGGACGAGTGGAGCGAGCCATGAGGATCGCCACTTGAGCCGCTCGCCTTCAACGTCACCGCGCCGTGCAGATGTAGAAAGGGTCCGCGGGCCCCGGCGATCGTTGGGGCGCGGGGGTGAGTGCGGGGTGAGAGCGGGGGGCGCGGGGGGCGCGGGGGCGGGTGCGCGCGCAGAGGGGCGCGGGGCGGTTGCGCCTCGCCAGTGGCCCGGGCTGGCCGCGCCGCACGCACGTGTAGCGGCCGCGGCTCGACGTCCCGCGCGAATGTTCCGTGCCCGGTCCGTGCGAGTACGCCATGCCCCGCGCCCTGAGCGCTTAGAGTGCGAGCGAGGAGGTTTCAGTGTCTGAGCGTGTTGTGATGCCACCGGCTTACTAGGCCGCGCGAGTTCACCTTTATACGTAAGTTTGTTCGATTGCGCGTTACGTAAGAAAAGTGAAAGTGAGGGTAGATTTAAGTGACGCGTACCGCTAAGTTAGCCGCTCATCGTTCGCGGGAATGTCTTCTTTGCCGAACTTGTGCTGTCTTTTAACGAAGTTTCTACTAGGACCAGGAAGTTTTATTGATTTTACGTGAAAGAGTCATTATTTGGAAAGTAACGCTGGGACAAATTTAAAAAATGTGATGATTAAATTAAAACCGTCCACTCTGGTAGTATTAAATATAACATAACTTAAATAACATCTTATGTTGAGATATCAGCGTAATATTCGATTGACCTGTGTGTAATAAGTCGAGTGGTGACACGCCACCGCCGTCGGAGTCGCGTAAAACTTTACGAGCGTTTTAAAGTAATGCATTAGTCGACGAGCACTAAAACAGATAGCGCAGACGACTGAATAAAACATTTTAATTCCTTACGACACGTACCTACTCTAATTGATTAACGCCGTAATCGTCTTCACCACCATCAGGATTCTTTAAAGTATTGGAGATGGTTCCAACGTCTCATTTTTAAAAAAATCGCATTCCCAATATGTCCAATCCCTCGAAGGAGCGCTTAAGTTACGATGCAAAGCGTACAACTTTATTAAAACCGAGTTTGAACATTTCAGACGGAATTTCATTTGTGAAAAACTTCGGAGCGTCTTCGATGCAAATCCAATTTGGCCTGGGCTTATGGAGCTACTAACTGAATAAGAAAGATGAAAGCTGGGCAGATAAAACAGAACAAAGAAAACTTTATTCGCTTCCTAGTAATAGTTTTCTTCTCTGAGGCAAAATTGTCAGCTTTGCTATTTTTCACAATATAAACTCCATGAAACCGCTTCGGAATTGGATCATAAAGGCGAAAATTTCTATGTATGGATGGATGTTTGTCTTGTTTTGTTTCACGAAAAAGTACCTAATTGATTTTAATGAAACTTTACAATAATATAGCTTATACATCAGAATAACACATAGGCTATAATTTGAATACATATTTTTATGTATATCTGTCTTTCTGTTTGAATGTTCTGTTCTCTCTTGTCGCGGGCAGCAGCTAGTATGTATATAAAAGGCCAAAGTACTTCTCATCGTTGTGCAACTACTTCTAAAAAGCAAAAATTTATTAAATTATTAGATAGCCTAAAAGGTAAGGGTAAAGACAACGGCCGGTATGCGGATAGAATCGATTTAGTGAAAGTTAAATGAGAAGAGCCCTTTCGAGGGGTCGCGATACACTACTCGTAATATGCGAACAAGAAATTACAATTTTACATTAAAGTTATGACCAAGTAGGATATTCATTTAGAGTTATGGCCCTTTTCATTGGCGCGTAATAATAGCGTTACATTCAGCAAATCGGATCATGTTTCGATAGGAAGTGCTTATATTCAAGACAAAGTACCAGTTACTGAGATTATGTGTATCATATACAGTGAAAACCCGTTCGTTTATGGCCAGCACATATTGTTGCTTTGCAGCGGCCGTCGCAAATGGGCACTCTCCGCAAAAGGATAATAAATCGAAACAAAATTAAAAATGTGTTTAAAAAGATATTCTTTTAGTTTCAATCATAAAAAGCAGGTTTATTAAGTACAAAACATAAAAATACTAAATTAGTTACATAGTTAAGTCAGAATTTAAATTAATTAATTAAATTAATTAATAAATAGGCAAATAATTTTTATATAATTAAAGGCATTACCTCTGAAGGAACTTTGTTACAATACAGCCAAATTAAAATAGGTAGAAATGTAGAACGTTTATTATTTGCGTATTCTTTTTGATTCTGGCATTATTTAATTGTGAAGATATTTTCTCATTGTAAGCATTATTTTACTATAAATTTTATAAATTTCAATTAAAATTATATAAATAAATTAATCGTACTAAGATGATAAAGAAAAATTACTTATAAAAGGACGTATTTTAATAACTTTGCCTAATCAACTTCTCTTTATTGATCTAAAATCAACAACTGTAAAATTAAAATTGTGAGTTCTACATACGAATATACTTATTGACACACAAACGCTAAAGCTTACACGCTTATATAGATTCTTTCCAATAGTACAATTGTTATGAATAATACGAGCATGAATGGTTAAACTTAAGAAAGAAGTGTTCTTCCCCTTTTTGAGAGGACGAACTGGTGTTGTCGGTTTAAACTTATGCTGCTTACCGCGTGGTGTTCGCCGATATCCGATAGGATCGGGCACCCCCAAGAAATCCATAATGTTCAGAATCATAACTCTATAGGAGTTAAGGCTCTTGTCTAGATTGTCTAGATATATAATTCACTTACATTAACCATAGTTCTACTATGTGAACTATAGTTGATTATAATCAACTATCTTTTCTCCAGCGACTTCGTTCGCGTTGAAGCACTAAATAAATATCTTTCAACCCTTTCTTAAGGCTCTAGACTATCTGTGGACCAAATTTCATTTAAATCGGTTCAGTCGTTTTGGAGTGAAAGCGAAACAGACAGTCAGAGTAACTGTCGCATTTATAATATTAGTATGGAAGTATGGATTAACATAAATAGCGGGCACAATTATAGTTATAGCAAATCGACAAAAAAGTAAAATAATTTCAGTTTCATTCTTAGTTGGAAGTTAATGGAGAAATGTGGACGTGGCTCCAATCGGCGACAGCAGAAAGAGCGGTTAATTATTATTGGGAACCTTCTGCTCCTATATCAAGGAACGTGATGTTTTCGGATAGTTGCCAATTCTAATGATGTTTTCTTTGTTTTCCAAATAAGGGGAGGGAGGATAGCTGTTTACAAAATGTCTGCCGATTCAAGTGTTCAATACGCCTAGCGTCGCGTATAAGTATTTATATATATACGGAAAGTATTGTCCAAGTCAACTTATAATATCTCCATTTGCCAATTGCAATTGAAGACAACAGACTGCGAAAGCAATCAAAGAGAATGTTGTTTTGTTGTGATATGGCCATGCAGTAGCTTCTGTTGATAAAATAAAAAAAACAAGTCGGTGCGCTCTTCTCGAAGTAGAAGTGTTTGTTCTTTTGAATTTCTTCCAGTGGGATAAATAATGGGCGTCCAATCTTTAACAAGGTTTAAATGAGAATGCAAAGTCACTTTTAGATGTTCAAAGGCGACGGAGAGCTGAAATAATATCTCATGACCATGCACAGAAAACACTGACTGTTGGTCTTAATAGAAGCTAATAACATTAAAAAGCTCTTAATGGCACAACACTGAGACATTGACATAGGCGCCGATTTAATGGTTGTTAACATAACAGATATTCTAAGAGCTCATAAAATTTAATGCGCGATCTCATTTATAGGCCCTTTATATGATGACGTCGCCGTGGTCCGTTCAAACTCCGTTTTGTTCACGTGATCTTCGTACTCAAATTCTTATTAATTTGAATAATACTTCGAATGTCATGAAATTTTCGTATTTTCTTATTTCATTGATGATTTAAAGTGGATTATTTTAATATAAAGGGTGGCTTTTCTCAAGGTGCCCAAATTCACACAGATGGTTTAGACTTTATTGAAATAAAAACAAACTTTTTGTTTCAATATATAGCAATTCTATTCCCTAAAAAACAAAATTTGCTGACAATGCGGTAGTCATTGTCATCATATACTTTTGAAACGAACTTGTGTGCGTGTTAGTAATGAATGATCACGCGTAAAATAAATGAGTTGCCCATAAATCACGCTCTTTTTGAGATGAGTTCAAATGAATGTAATTAATTAATTAATAATTTGTTATATAACATTATTTATGTCTAAAATTTAATAAAAAAATGGATACACTTAGCAAAGCCTCCCTGTATTTATTCATACAGATTATGACTCCACAGAAACATTTTTGAAATCAATCCAGCAGTCCTTGAGTTTATTCGATACAAAGATGTGAATCTTGCCTCTTTATAAAATTATTAATAAGTATAGATATAGAAAAATTCGAAATTCATTATTTGGGATGTTAAACATATAAATTGAATATAGAGCCGCGATAGCGTGTCCGGGCGCTCGACTTTAATTCGATATACTCGAGCAACCTGAGCTCGATCAATGCAAGCGATCAAATTATTAATTTTAGGTGCTGACTTTTCACGTGCTTCGCGGTGAAGGAAAGCATCATGAGGAAACCTGCATATTTTCGATACAATAAAAAAAATATTTCGAAGGTATGTTAAGTGGGCCAATCAGCAGTAGGGCCGCGTGGTGGACTATGCCCTGATACCCTCTATATAGAGGAGGCCTTTGCTCGGCAGGGCTCAAACCGTAACGTTCAAACCGTGACGTTTTTATTACTTAGATAATTTTTATCCCGTCATAACTTCTAAACGAAAAGTTCGATCCTAATAATTTATAGTGGAACATTGATAATAATTAATGTTGAAGATGTACGATTAAATTCCAATTACAAAATTTACTATCAAACCATTGAAATTGATAAGGATTAATATCACGTCAATAGGTACCAATATCACCGCTAGTAGATTCCACCCGTATTTGAACTTAATAATTTAAACAGAAACTGTTATTGTGGCCTAACTATAATAGTAAGGCGCATACCATCGCGGAAGGGTTTTGTGAACAAACATGAGTAGTATCAATATGTAACTAGATCACTATTTTCTATATTGTTAATGGTTTTAGCAGCGCACACAAAATGTATGACTTTTATAGGCAACATTTTGGCACCTTAGGTTATATTGTTTATTTTTTTAAAAATAGGGCTCTCTATTAGGTTACTCGGTAAAGATGTAGCTTTCTTATGGTAAAAGAATTTTTAAAATCGGTCGAGTAGTTTTTGAATTAAATCATAACAAAGAAAGAAACTCAAAATGAAATCTTTTCTCTTTAATATGTTACTTTAGATGGTATAAAACTTTCCACCGTTCTTGTTATGATAGATTATTATGGT